TACTGTAGCTGCTTGCAAATCCTGAATCAGGGCTAGTAGACTTTATTTCGAACCTTGCATTCCCAGCCATGTCGAAACTCACAGAACTAGCACCGCATACATTCAAAGAACCTTCTTCTAGCAATTGCCTTCAAATATCCTAACAAAACAAACAAACAGTTAATTGCAGCGTTAGCATTAGCTGTCAAAATACAGCATCTAAATTCACTAGAATTTTATGTGGAGGCATTTGCAGCATGGAAGAGAAGACACTGTTAGCATGGCTATATAGAAGCTGATATAATGAGCCTCTAGTGTCCACTAATTACGTAGTACTATAGTTCTAACATCCTTCTAGTAAAAATTTATAAGGTCCCAGCTTACAAAAGTTTAAAAGAATCCAGCAGCCATACTCTGCAATACATTGATTTGTTCAATGCATCGACTTTCACTAAAAAATAGTTAGCATTCAATCTAAACATAAAAATATCAAATTCATATGGATGATATCAAATTCACATGGGAAAATCATCTATTATTTATCATAGCTGCACTAAATTTCAAAGCTCAAAACTCCAGTAAAAAGGTTGAACTTTTAGAGATGTTTCCTGTAATGAAAACATAAAATGAACCAGAAATACTAAAAACCTGCAACAAGATAATTAAAACTGAAGTTTGCCACTAAATGTAAGCAGGCCAAATAATAGGCTGGCCTCCATTGGAGTAAGCAGGAAGCTTATCATGAAGTTCAGAGGTAAAGCATCAGAGTCCAAATTTAAATAAAGAAAATGCCCAAAACCAACCAAGCACACCACTTCAACGGATTGTCAAACCCTAGTTTGAGTTTAACATAAATTTAAGGTATACCATACTTCCACGACCAACAGAAGCTGAAGAGCGTGAGGTAAAAATGAGTAGTAAACTGAAGAATCGAAAACGAACCAGCATTCGTCGATCAAGGAAGTTTAGGAAGCACAGACGCGCCTGATTTTTTTAGGAAAAACGGCGGGTTCGAACAAGGGACACGTGTCAAGGACACCGCCTAGTGTACCATTGACCGGATACGAGGGAATAAATCTCAGACACGATTAGGACACGACTGAGATAGCAGCGGGATAGGGCAATGTATATTAGAGCGCGGGGAAAACCGCGAATGAGCAGAGGTGTTCGGCTGTTAAAGTGATGTGCGTAGTGGTGGGGTTAGCCTCTGGTTCCGAAACAAAGAGATCCGGTGACTTTCACTGCACTTTCGGCTTCGATCGGCGGCTCTGTGACTTCTCGGCGACGACGAATCTTATCGATCGGAAGACAATTAGATTCCGCACTGTTTTTGTGGCTGCATTCATTCCTGAAGTTTTGTGGGGTAGATGGGCTTTTCTGTTAAAGCTTTTGTTGGGCTTAGTATTCCGTAATACAAGTATATTTGTGATGTGATAAGATTATGAGACATTTTTATTTCACGTGTTATTAAACGGCGCTTATTAAGACTCATATTAATAAAAGTGTTATAAGCTCATGTTTATTTCAAAAGATTTAACACCGTTTAACATTAAAACATCCAAAATAACTCTATGTACATATATAGACACACAAACATTTGTGTACACAAATATATGATATAATACGTGAGGGTCACCCCGTGTGCGTACCCATTGCCCCTAACACCTACCCCGCCTCTACCCCTACCCTAAACCCTACACCCCCCCCCCCCAATTCCACACCCTTCGCCTATCCCTACCACGACTTTACCCCTACCCTACTCCCCTACTTAGGGTCGGGGTAATGGTAGGGATATGGTACGGTCTGGTAAGGTAAGGTCAAGGGTAGGTAGGGGTAGGAGTAGTGTGTGGGAGTATGACCATGGTAGGGGTAGGGTCCGTAGGGATAAACAAGGTTAGAGGGGTTAGGGGTGGGGTAGGGCGTAGGGTTGTGAATCGGGTGGTAGGGGTAAGGGGTACGGGGGTCGGGTGGGGTACGTGAGTAGGGGAAGGGGTAGGGGTTAGGGATACACGTAGGGGGGTCGGGATGAGGTTGGGGTAAGTTAGGGTAGAGGTGAGGCATGGGTGTGTAGAGCTAAGGTAGGTAGTAGGGGTAGGGTAAGAGTTACAATAAGGGGCAATGTTCTAAAACTCGCTAAGCACTAGTCGGACGGTTGAGGGGCGCCTAACGCCTAGTCGGCCGACTAGGCCGATTTTTAGGCCAACTAGACCAATTTTTTGGCCGACTAGGCCGATTAATCCTCTACAGTGAAGACCGACTAGGCAGATTTTTAGAACAGTGAAAATTGGTAAGGACAAGATGTAAGGAGTAAACTCGGAAATTGAAAAAGCTTAAAGTGCTGCTTAATTAATACATGAGGAGTGATATGCTTAGTAAGCGGCACTTTAAGCACCTCTTTCGGTTAGTAAACGATTTTTTAAGCAGCTTGCGTGTTTTCATCACCTGTTTTAGTAACCTAAATGTGACTTTAGTGGCGAAATAAACACATCCTTAGTATTTTGACTATTTTCGATAAAAATATAACCAATCACTATGTACGAGTAATTAAATAAGATTCATTATAATGTACTCTTTTTGTCCCTTAAAACTTTGTGATCTTTTCATTTTGGCATCTCTCACAAACTTTGCCACTTTCCCTTTTAATCAACTACTTTGTGATTCATGTTATTTCTCTCTCATCTGCACAAACATTAACCACATAGTTTTTACTTTATTATTCTTTATGTTGATCAAATGTGGCAAAATTGTAAGTGTCGGAGGTAGTATTTCAAAGTGACAAGTCACTTATAGATGATGAGTCACTGAATATGTTACTTAGGGCCGATGCAGACAGTTTCAAGACCTAGGGGCGAATGATCTATAATAGGCCTAATTTGTAAAAAATATCGTAATTTTTTTCTCCCTACACTTCTTCTCCTTTTCACTATATCCCATCGAGTTTCCTCCATTTTTATTACACTTTAAAATTAATTAAATTATATATACTTAATGAAATTTTAATTGTTACGGAAGAAATTTCAATACTATCACAAAATCACAATTCAATTTCGTATTCAGTTTTAACTACAAAAGCTAAAACACAATCTCAATTTCACTCTTTATGAAATAGTACTTTGTGTTTTATACTCCAACAAATTTAAAATACTTGATTAACAATTTAAGTACTTCATGATTCAACAAGACAACAATCAATAATCAATAAGTAAGTTAACAACAAAATGTATCAATGAAGTAAAAAGTTTATTTTTATCATAACTATTAACTAATAATGTATCAATGTAGTAAGTAAAAAAAACATAGATTGTGGATTTAAGGAGCGGCGCACCAAATGTAGAATAACATAATTGCATATATGCACTAGCAGAAGTGAGGAGAACCTCTCATATTTTTATGATTGTTTACTATTTTTGTTACCGAGCCTTACTGACTGAATGAAAATACTGAATAAGCTGAAAATCTCTGCCCATTCGGCCTTAGTATAAAGACATAAATACTAGGCCTATTTTTTCGCTTTTTTGGGCCAAGGGCCCTTGCTGCTACTTTCCTCCCCCGGGACACCCTTGTGTTACTTTATTAGAACATTTTAAAATAAGTCATATTTTTGTCTTTTGAATTTAGTTCTGTAATATTAATGGAAAAGGTTTGCTTTTAAACTACGAAAATATCGAAATATTGCCAATTCTAATTTTCGATCTTTTTGAGAGATCAGTTCCACTTTAATTTCAATGGGGTTTAATGCACTAAACACCCTTATGATATATAAATTTGACGCATTAGCTCATTTTGTTTAAATAATTTGTGAAAACTCCATGTAGTATAATTATTCATGCACAAAACCCCCTCTAGCAACAAACTTCACAATTTATAGATCATTTGTATTAATATTATGATTAAATATGCAAGTAAATTTGTGAAGATCTCTAAATAATGTAAATATACTAATCTTTTTTCTTTTAATTGAAACTTAAAGGTGTTCTCGAATGAGGTTTTGTACATAAATAATTATAATACAGAGAGGCATGACAACTTTTTAAAATTATAAAAGGGTAATGCGTCGAATATATATATATATATATATATATATATATATATATATAAGAGATCACATACTAACCATGCTTAAAATACTAACTTACTAACTCAATAATATGCAACACATTGAACTTCAATATGCAGTACAAATAATGTAAAGATGCACACTGTGAATTTCAATATGCAATAAAAACAATATGCAAAACTTTGAACTTTAATATGCAGTACAAATAATATGCAACACTTTGAACTTCAATATGCACTACAAATAATGTAAAGATGCACCATTTTTGATAGTTTGTAGGTTAGCATGGGAGGAATGGTTAGTATGTGATCTCACCCCTATATATATATATTACAAGCGAGTTTGGTGCATTAAACTCATTTAAAAAATAAAATGTTAAACCATTAAACCATGAGTGACAAACGCCAATAATAAGAAAATTAACAACAAGCCCCGACGAGGCGACAGGCGACAAGAGTAAATCTTAGCCATTCAACTTTTCTTCTCTTCAGTTTTCTTTCATCACGGTAAATGATTTTTGCCGCACATTTAATATGAAATGTTTCATTTCTAGAAGTTTCTAGAGTCGGTGTATTTCACATTGGCGAAGCAGATAGGGTGATGAAGTTTCGACGTTCGTTCTTGGCAAGGCTTGTTCTATACAATTTTTTTACATTGGTTGATGACGGTTACAGGGTCTCACGCACTCACCCCCCTCTCGAATCACCGCCAAATTTTGAGGGAAATTTGGTGTTCGAATGCATCCCATTTTCATTTGCTGGTCAAACCAAAGACTATAGGAAACATTTTCTAGTAGCCGGTCAAACTCATGGACCGACTCAAGGAACGCTCCATGTGTGTGTGCAGAGTGTATCAGTGTATGTATGAGAGTGTGTGTGTGTACAGAGTGCTCATGTGGAACCTTTTAAGTGGAGCTGTGGAGATTGATACAGGAGAAATATAATGGAAAAGAAACAGACCTGGAGAAAAATGGGGTTAGTTACATTTTCTAAAACCTTTAGTTCCATGGTGTGAGAGGGGACTGAGTAGCTCTTAGTGAAAAGAGCAAAACAACGGCCATGACGGAGGGAAGTGATATAAACTTCACATTACTTTTCCCAATTGCATAATAATCTAATGCTTTGTTGGATATCTAAAGTACTTTGTTGTAACTATACAACAACTTTGTCGTAAGTTGTAACTATGTTGGCGCAAAAAATAATTCGCATAAAGAGAAACCGTGATAATGATAGAGGGAATGTGAGGGCGACCGGCCGACTCGGGAATTCGACAATTTGGTGCGACAAACTAGCAACAATCTGGCGTTGATCTGGAGACCGCATCCCTTGCTTGCATCAGAGATAATATGTGTGAGAGGAAGGGAGCCGCACAGCTGGGCATCTTCTCTGCTAGATTCTTCACACTGCGTCTGTCCTCAACATGAAAGGATTAGTGGTCAAAACAGAGACCACAATGAGAACCGGAGGAATAGATGCATGGGCGTCCTATTCATGTCCCCTAACAATAGCCATCCTCGCCCGAGTTGGATTTCAACGACCCCCTTCAGCTTTCAAGATTTAAGGTCACTAACCCAGCACAAAGAGGTGTTTTAGCATACAACAATAATTATTATTAATATACTACGTATTAATATTACTAATATGAATTAATATTACTAATATGAATGCTACAAAATACACAGAAAAAAAAAACATTTCCACGTCCCGCCTCAGAACTCACCACGACTACAGGCACCAGCAACAGACATCATCAGAACGTCTAAACAAGTTGAAAACACATACTACGTATAAAGTTATAAACTAGACTAAGGGAACATTTGGTAAAGGTATTTTGCAGAAACAGCTGAATAACCTCAATTTTCCGACAGGAAATGCGTTTTGGTAACATGCATTTCAGCCAAATAAATGATGGGATGAATAAGCAAGGTCAGATATTATTGGCTGCAAAAAGGGAACCCGAAATCCCCAACCTTGCAAATGACAGCAGCTAATTTGATGATTAAAAGCTGTGAAAATTGGTAAACATATTATGGTTTTATGGCAGGCAGTCATATAATTAAGAAAGATAAGCCCTGAATGCAAAAGATGCAATTGACAAAGTTCACTTGATAAATTTCTTTGACAACTTCATCAAGCCAAAATCAATCTCAAATCTTAACATTAATAGTTCATAAATACATTCAGCAATCGGATTTGACATCTCATTACCAAAAAATCCCTTCATTCAATACGCAACAAAGCTTTTCATAAAATAAAATGAAAACAGCTTTGAAGGAAAGAACTAAACCTAGTAAGAAAGTAAAATCACATGGCCTAAAAGTCAAGCTCTACCATGATACTGATAAAAATTGAACTTTGCAGTTTGCATCATTTCAAGCCTTAAAGTAGTACCAAATTTCATATAAACTAACCAATTCATGACATCCAAACACACAACAACCTGGTTTCATCAGAAGATCACAAGCAAAGAGAAAAGCACATATATCAAGAAACATGTGTAAGCAATCAACCCACGATGCTCATCTCCATACGATGCCAATTCAACCAGAAGCCGGGTGCAAACTCTTGTAGACCATATGACAAAAACACCTGCCACGACCTTAATCGCCACCCCTCCGGGCAAGAACAGTGATACTGCCGACAAGAGCACAACGGGTAGCATACAATAGCCGACCAAACTGACGCATCTGTACAAATCCAAGTTCCCGTTTCGTCCAGCTAGCATGTTGAACACCACATACAGAAATACGGAAGCCATGACCACCCACCCCAAGATGATTCCGAAATGGAACTTCCCAGCGAGCAATTGGAATAGCCCGAACGCCATGAGGAACAGGAATGGCCCGGAGAGATCGGCATCTTCATGAAGATCTGCCTTGACTCGGAAAGGGTTCAGAATCGACAGAGTTTTCTGGTAAATTTGTTTGGTGTTGATCCCAAGTTCCTCGAGAAGCGGAGCCTCGTCCTCGAATCCAGTAGATCCGCCATTGATGGTGGTGGGGGCGAATTGTGGGGTGGAGAACGAGGTGGACGCGGGAGCGGAACCAATGTCAAAGGACATGAATGGGATGCTAGGGTTCGAAGATCTCGATGGCTGGAACGGTGCCGCCGGTGGGCGACGCTGCTGTGTGCCTGGGGTTCCGCCGGACGGGAATATGACCGGCGGTGCTTTAAATTCCTTGGCCATTGACCGTAGATCTGCTGGGGATTTGATCGAATTTTCGAGGGAGCTTCAACGCTAAATAGCAGTACTGCACGCAAACTGAAATAGTGAAATACTCATACCAATTTGATTACAAACTTGCAAAATAAGGAGTAGAGTAAAATACGATACTACTCTGTAGTCCGTACCAATTACATCAAAAAAAGTTGGTAGTGTTTGGTAAAATAAGTGATTTTTGTGTAATAGAAAAAAGTAAAAAGCAGATTCTACACGAAAGTTGAGAAAAGTAAAAGTTGATATTATTTGGTAAAATAAGTGATTTTTCTTATAAAAAAAACCACAATCACTTAAAATTAAGTGATTGCAAACAAGCCCTTAATAAAAATATGATTAGCTCTTTAATAAAAAAGTATGATTAGCTTTTAATTTTTCTTATTATACATCACTAATACTCCAGAAGCTCTTCTCCTAGAGTTTGCGCCGCTAGGTCGTTTCTCCAGTTTCGATCTTTAAGATCGGTTTTGCTTTCTTTGATTCGTTATCCCCAGTTCGTCATCAAGCTAAAGTCGGGCGGGGGGTCTGGTGGCTGTGGTCGGAGTTTGCTTGGCGGATCTGCTTGTCTGGGTGAAGCTGCGAGCCATAGAAAGGTTTTCTTCGTGGGCGAAGCTGCGGGCTTTGAGAAGGAACTACAGACTTTTGTGGACTTGGGCATTTTGGAAGGTGAGCAAGCAGAAACAGATTGGGGTCATGATTTTGACACGATAAGATTTCAGACCTATAAGATTTCACATAACAAGTTAACAACCAGAGTCTTACTGAAGATTTTAACACGTATCGTTGTGATCTTCCACCACCACCACCACCACAATGCGATCACATTTTTGTTTTAAAGATGTGTTTAGCATGGCATTAGAAACAACCGTCAAAGTCCACATTATGGTTTTTTATAGTACGAGTCATTTTAAATTTCGAGAGTAATGAACTTTGCCACAACTAGCTAGTGTTCATTGGACTCAAACACACATAAAATGCACACCACAACAGCTCAAATTAGACACATTTTTATTTTAATTTTGTCTTTCCCAAAACCATTTTATATTTGTCCGGCCATGACAAATAAGTACAATTACAACAACTGAACACTCAAATTCAACCTTGTACACATCACACAACACACGCACAATAGACACACACGCACAAAGCAAAGCACTCGAATAATGGATGGCCGGTCTTACACAAAGAGATTAACTTTGTTATTAATTCGGGGGTTGGATGGGTTGGGTTTGATCTTGGTTGGATCACAAATGTGTCCAGAGCCTTCAAGCTTCTCACGTAACTTTGCTTTTAGAGCAAGCAAATCTATGATCTCAGCCCTCAATGCCTCATTCTGCTTGCTCCAACGATCAATCTCTAGCATCAGCTTCTGATTTTCTTGAATAGTCTTATAGTTTCTCCAAGCCATGTCCCTGTTTTCTTTTTCCATTGATGCTACTTTGAATCGAATTGAATTGTTTGCTCAATATAGTTATAAAATAAATGTATATGGCTATACAATAAATGGGCTGGTCTTGCTGCATTATTTATAGACAGCAGAGGAGCCAAGGGGGTGGTCAGTTGATCCCCTACGAACACACATAGCACTGAAATAGCTTCAATTGGATATATTATATCTCTCGAAACTCATTATGAATTAAAAGTTGACTCCTGAAAAATCAATATAATCTAAACTTGAAATAGGCAAAATTTGATGTTTAAACGTATAGCACGTAATATGATAAAATTCCACTAGTATTTTCTCTTGAAAAAGTGATGAAAACAAATGTGACTTGGTAGCTTTTAATGACTATAATTATGTTCAAAGTTACTATGATGTAGTGACTATGATATAAACAATGAACATGATCATAGTCACTAAAAGTTACCATGTCACATTTTTGTCCATGACTTTTTTATTAGTAATATTATAGGAAAAACCTCAACAAGTATTAGTTAAATTTCTCAAATTCTGAAAATAACGTTTTGTTCACACATAAATTGCGTGATGATCTGATTATAATACATACTTATATATATATATATATATATATATATATATATATATATATATATCAAACTAGTAAATCTCTATGTCTTATTTAAACTAAGATTCAACTTTGTTAGATATGCAACTAATATATGCACGAGGATGGTGAATTTGATGAGCACAACTAATAATGATCTCCGCTAGCTGTCTTTCCTAAATCCTGGATCCTTTAGCAGTTCATCCGCGAAAGGGAAATAGAGGATGCTAGAAAATGCGTCTTTATCACCTCTTGGCTAATCAATTGTGATTTGTCGTAATTATCTTTCTCACATGTCCTTTGCTTTAATTTAAAACCAAAACAAGGAAAAGAAATGACCATTCCTGGAAACATGTCGGGAGAGGCGAAACACCGCCTTTGTAGCCAAAATCCTTCGTAGTTCAAGATATTTCTTCGCACTCGACATTTATTTAATTATATATATATATATATTGATGGTCCTGGATAGGGTAAAAGTCTAGAGGGGGGGGGGGTGAATAGACTTTTAAATCTTTTTCAACTTTAAAAAGATTCCCTTCTAGATGAGTTGATCTATAATCTTTTGAGAGATTAATAGATGCACAGCGGAAGTCTTTACCCTTTTGATGATTAATGTGTGACAACTTTCTGACTTAAATGATGTTTGGACTTTGAACAGTGAGCAGTTGGCTTGGCAGTTGCCTGGATGGCAGGAAACTGCTGAGGCAACTGCTAGTGGAAAACAGGAGTTTGGAAGAGATGATTATATGGCCTTGTACAGAATGATGAGGGCTAACTGAATGTGTGCTGAGGTGGAGAAAATAAGATGTTTTGCCTGAGCAGAAGTCTGAGCAGTTAGGCGGACCCAGGAATCTGCTAAGCGGTCTGCTGCTTATGAAAGTAGTATTTATGAGAACTGGCAAACCTGACCTTTAGTAGTGATATTCCAAAGCTCGTGTGAGATAGTTGTCTCAAGGAAAAGTAAGTTATTAAGCAGTAGGATAAGCAGTAGAGTCAATTAAGACTACTGCTTAGGATGCTGCTGGCAAACTACGACCCCTTTAGTGAGAAGTGTTGGGTGTGTGCTCTGTTGAGTGCAAGTAAATAAACACACGATGTATCCTGGTTCAGAGGTGGTGTAATCCTTCTACGTCCAGTCCCACCCTATTTCAGATGGATTTCACTAAAGTGTTTAGCCCAATACACTTAGTGCCAATCTAGCCTTTACAATACTCAGACCTAGATTGAAGGTTTTTCACAATGAGTATAACACCACTCAAAGTTACTCAGTCCTTAGACTTTTCTCTATTGATCCAGTGGGGATCAAAAGGTACTCTATCTATCTATCCACACTTTAGGATCAGAACAACTGTTCTCCTAAGTGTTTACAACAGTTTGATACAAGAAAGTTCTAATCTCCAACTAAGAACTAAGCTCTAAAATATGAAAGTGTTGAACTAATCTAAGAGCTTAGTGAAACATGAGTCTAAGCAGAGAGTAAAATTGAGTTTGCACTTTCTCTTTTGCTAGATAGCTTGGATATGCTTTAATGGAAGAATTTCTCGACTTAGGATGCTCAAGCTTCTTTTAGAACTTATGCTTCTACCTATATTTATAGGCCTCCATAGTTGATTAATCTCATCCGTTGGTTGGGATGAATTAATCCTTGGCGTTGAAATTCTGGTAAGGATAAGTTGTACACTTGTCTTCTTGTGCTGGATCATTTATCGAAATTGTCTTCACTTATTGGTAGCCGGTGGATTACTTCATGTGTCCCATGCTGTAGGTCCGTGTACTTGATTCAGTATTTAATGCCGGTCAAGCTTTGTCTTCCAATCATACACATTCAATGTATGATATCCGAGTACAAAGAAATGTGACAATTAATTAATCTTTGAGCCAAATGACCTATACCGGTAGGATCTAGATATCCTATTAAGGTAAAAAAATTACCTTATTGCATTTTTACTCTTCGGTAATATTTCATTAGACTCAAAGATTGTACATTTATTTTTGTCACTTATGAGAAATTCGAAAACAAATGTTCTAACTTAATTAGGACACAATGTACTAAATTGGAGTATAGTGGCATCATCAAAATCTATCAAAATTGGGTACTAACATATATATATATATATATATATATATATATATATATATATATATATATACATACATATACAAACTAAATAAAACGGTAAACAATCCACACAAATCAAACATAAAAACATACACTTATGCACTACTAATTAGTGCATATCAGTAGTAATGTCACATTCTAAGAACTATATATATATATATATATAGTTCTTAGAATGTGACATTACTACTGATATGCACTAATTAGTAGTGCATAAGTGTATGTTTTTATGTTTGATTTGTGTGGATTGTTTACCGTTTTATTTAGTTTGTAAACATTTGTGTGATTTTAGTTGTAATTGTATTTTAATCTTCATTTGTAAGTTGTAAAGTAGAGTTAGGAATTAGGGTGTTGAAAAGGAGGACTTTGAAGTGAAGAAAAAGGTGATAAGTGTGCCCAGGAGCACAAACCCGGTCGGGTCAGACCATGCACCCGGTCGGGTCTGATGTAAAATCCGAAACTGCCTGGAAAATCATCAGACCCGGTCGGGTCCCCTACTTGACCCGGTCGGGTCAGACTTGACCCGGGACACCAGAACGTGCCGAAGATCGCCAGAACGTGGAGGATATCTGATTTTGACCGGACCCGGTCGGGTAAGCACCTAACCCGGTCGGGTACCCGGCCCAAGGTGTTGAAAAACACCTATAAATAGCCCCATTTTCCTTCACAAAGAAATAACTCCTTCTTCCATACTCCTAAGCTCAGTTTAGAATAGTATTTCTTTTATATTTTTATAGCATGTTTAGTCTCCAAATGAGGAGCTAAACTTCCATTTCTTGGTGTTGCTCTTGAAGCTTGTTGATTATTAAAGTTGTGAGTTATTTTCTTAACTTCTTCCCTTGAATATTAATTATTCTCTTAATCTATCTATATATTAATGTTGGGGAGTGTTGCTAAGATGACAATTAGTTAACATCTCGACATTAGTTATAGTAGTATTTATTTTCTTCCTCTA